GACGAAGGCTTTCGTTGGCACGTTGAGCGAATGTAGTCTCCCGTGCTTCAAAGAGGCACTGTTTGAGCTGACTTGAAAAAGTGGCATTTAACCACAATTGAAGCAACCAGAAAGGCCCAACAAGTAGATAACTTGCAGTAGATGAAAGTGAGGTCATATGATCGACTCCCATGCTGAGTGATTCATAGAGCGACCCCAAAATAAGTTCGCTCAGGCATATGTGTCGACCCAGATGGAGGTGATGAACTAACACAATGAATCATTTAGCTACCTTCAGAGATCGACTGCAGAAAACATACTTGGAAAGCCACAAGGCTAGGAAGGTAATGTGTTCTTCATCAGACACAATGTCGGCATATTTGGCGTGAAAACGCTCTATATATTTGGTGAAGCCAACAATGTCCTTTTCAAAAGGAATAACGTTTTCGTCTGCTTAAGTGGGAAGAAACGCTTCACCTGTGGGGAGGAGACCGGTGATGGCCACAATGTCAAACAGGGTGGGAGTAAGCATTCCAACTGCAAAATCGGAGGTGTTTGTAGAGCCTTCCCAGAAGTAGAGTGCGGAAATCAGCATGTGATTGCAATAGCTAGGGCCAACCCTAGAAAGTTGAATTACGTCAAAAAAGCCTTGAGCCTTCCAAACGTCACCCTTCACTTGCTCTACTTTATTCAACCATGCAATGTAATATTGGTTGACAGCAGGGGCGAAACGAAAGACTTTAGACGTATGATAGATGTGTGTAAAATATATAGGGCAATCTCTGTTGATAAGGGGTTTGGTGGTTTTGTGAGTAGGGAAGCAACCTTCCAAGTGTTTAGGTACCCTAACCTCATCAATAATAGGCCCCAATAGAGCATAAGCAGTGTTGTTGCAGATGAAGGGAAGCCACAACTAAGAGCGAAAAGTTTGGAGATTACGTGTTGGCGTTGGTTCTAAGACAAAAGTGTTTTGATCAGGAACGAAGAACTCACTCATGTTGGAAACCAGTTCAATTTCATGGGGAGTTTAAATGTGTTCAGAGATTTGGCTTGAAGCGGCCGTGGAGACGATGGAGGATTTTTTTGGGTAAAAATGAAAATCAAAGTTTCTATGGTATATGAAGACAAAGAGCTTGAGTATGGAAATAAACATAAAGAGGAAATTGGAGAGATAAAAGGGGTATTTATACCATTAAGGAGACCAAACATTCGGGAGAAAGTGAAAAAAAATGTGGCTACATGACCGACACGTGTCAAATAGATGGCAACTGAGTTGAAGAAGTTGGTGAGTTAGAGGCCATGATTATCCTCAGAAGTTGAAACTAGAAAATAGGAAAGTGGTTGTGTGATCACTGATGTAACGTTTGAGGGAAAATGTCATGATTACCATGACGTCACTTCACACTAAGAGAAAAGGATTAAAATGTCCATTTCTGTTCTTTCAGTCGAAAAGTTCATTTTCGGGGGCAATTTGTTGGCTAGGATTTTTACAAAGGGTTAAAATCCAACCAAAAGCAAAAAAGGTTCTTTGAAGACTTTGGAATTAGAGGAAATCGACCACAGAAGCAGTCGACTGGAAGAGGTTTCATAAAAGGCCAATTTAGGCTTGTGGATGCAGTCGACCATAAAAGAGGCCTCATGAGGAGTGGATTGGGCTCAAGAGTGTTAAAAAGCCCAAAAGAGGGCATACCTATCACAACAAAGCGTTGTGAATGGAGAACATGGGTTCGATAGTAGGAATGGAGAACATGGATTCGATAGCAGGGATGGAGAACGTAGGTTCATGAAGGGAAATTACAAGAGACACGTGGATCATGAAGAAGCGAAGCCCGCTGAAAAATAGTTATTTTCATGTGTTATAAATAAAGCACTTAGTGCATAGTGTAAATGGTTCAAACTTTCACATTCCTACACGCTAGTCTCTCAGAGTACTCAGGCGAATGAGCGAAATGAGTCAAGCAAGGGCGATGTATGTTTGAATCAGCCTATTTTCAAATCTCTTAATGTTATGTCATCTATTTTTACAATTTAAAATGTATTTTTTTTATTTTACAATTCCCGCTTTATTACTTTTAAATTCATTTCGCCTTAGTCGAATGAATCCTTTTGAACATACTTTGTGAAAACACTCAAAAACTGAAGCACTATACTGAATTTCCCTGGTCAATCTCGCCAATTATCTTTCTCTTAAGAGACCATCGTTGTTTACCAAAACCAGAGGTAAACACACGCAGAGCTCAAATGAGACACTTATTATGAGACGGAGAAAGTAAGTCATAAGACACTGACATATACACTAACATGTCTATCATCAACGGACTCATACATTGATAGTGAGCTACATGTGCTAGCAATAATATGAGTAATTTCTATGGTTATTTTCAATCCGGTACGGTCCAGGTATTTTCTCTCCTGAGGATTGGACCAGAACTCGAATCGGGTAGACCGGGACCGGACCATAACAATATTGGTTTTTTTTGGACCGAATCTGGTCTGGTACATTTGGATAAACCAGGACCAAACCGAATTTAACAGATTTGTGTACTGAGAACCGAGACCGGTCCGATGAGTTTCAGGAGGGTAACCGGACCACTCGAAATATAAGAACAACAATGAAATTTCAGAAATTAGAACATAAAATTGAAAATAAATTTCTAATATTATACTATCATCATTTTGCTAAATAATAATGCATAATTTTGCTACACAGATCACATTGTATCATCATTGGATATTGTATAAATATTACAACACCATAACAAGTAACAACATTGTATCAAAAAAGTTGTTAAAAGATTATATCAACTACATAATGATGCCTCAGAACAAGATCATCATTGCCATTTCAAATACACATTTTTAATTTGCAGCTGTAGAAGAAGCGAGACCCGAATCTTCACCAAAATGAAAAGTCAAAGGTTCATCTTGTGGTTACTCAAGCTACAAAAACAGAAAAATGTATTAGTGAGACTGAATAATAACTAATATACATATTATATTAATAACCAATATACATAATAACCAATACTTACAATTGAAGCATTGCACCCTTCTTAATCCCATACTTCTTCTTCACCCAATCACCTCCACAAAACACCAGTTCAACTATCTTAGTTTTCATAGATGATCGTTTTGGATCAATAATCCTTTTCCCAGCACTAAAAGTTGCTTCAACACTCACCTTAATAATAACAAGACCATCTTGCACCAACAAATTTAAGATGTGTGCACAACACCTTACATGAAACAGTTTACCATCTAAGGGTAAATTTCTCTTACCAGAATAATACCTCTTTAATCTAGTAATGAAACTATAATTGGCACTAGCATTATCTACATAAATTGAAGCTACCTTATCCCTTATTCCCGAATCATCCATCACCTTTATCAACTCTCTACACAAATCTCCCCAGAATATGGAGGTGGCACATTCTGAAAAGATAAAAATCTTTTATGAAGCTGCCATTTTGAATCAATGAAATGACCAGTCATAATCATATAACCTATCATCTGTTCACCAGACCACCACAAGTCAGTGGTAAGACTGACCCTATTAATCAAAGCCAAATACCTTTTCATCTTAACTCTTTCAGTCTCATAAAATATGTCACAATTAAACTTAACCAGTTGCCTAGTAATCTTTTTGCACCATGGATAAATCTCCCTAAGAAACTCATTAAAAATAACACTTTCCATAACATAAAAAGGAAATTCATGACCTAGAATCATATGTACTGCAAGTTCTCTAATCCTAGCATGATTATATGTTCAGATTGCCAAACTTGGAGTACTATCACCTATGTTTAACCTAGACTGTGCAACCTCTTTGTCATTATTACCTTTCAACCTCAACTTTCTCTGAATACAAACAACTAAATGTTTCTTACCATTAGATGTACTTTTCCACTTCGTATCATATGTATAAATCTTACCACACCATATGCACTTCCACTTCTTACCATCAGTTCCTTCAATAAGCACTATTTCAGTATGAACAACAAATTTTTTGGGACGAGGAGCTTTACCAAAAGCATTTATTTGAGAACTCTAATCTTGGTCAATTGGAAGGGTTGAACCATTAGTATTGGCAGTATTTTCAATGAGGGTATTTTGAGTGGTAGTATTATCAGTGGGGGTATTTTGAGTGGCAGTATTATCAGTGGAGGTATTTTGAACTGGAAGCTCCAAATCAATCATCTCACCAATCTCTAAATAACCCCCATCCGTTGTAACCTCTTCTCCAATATCAGCAAGCAACATATTAATATCAAGTAGATCATCCATGGTTGAAGGAGTCAATGACGAATCTTGAAAAGACATGGAACAAAGCACAATCAATCAAACAATAATTTTTTATGAAATTAAAATAAAACTCAGCAACACAGGCCTCAAAATTTATGAAGTACAGAAGAAGACAACAATTATTCAAAACCACTAGCCTTACCCTTTATTATTATTAATCAAACAGTAAAAACACAAATCTCAGGTCAAAATTGTAACATGCAAAGATATTAGGTCAATGTTAAAACAAAAATGTTTGATTTAAAACACAAACCCTAGCTAAAACTTTAAAATAATTTAGGTCAAAAATAATTTTTTCAACACTGAAACATGGTATTGGTATTAAAAGATTCATCAAACTATTCAAAACAAACAGAGAGAGGGGAAGAGAAGGTCGTCAGAGAAGGGACTGAGAGAGAAATGGGGAGCGTAAACTGAAGGAGGGGGAAAATGGTAAAATTATATGAAAACAAAATTTTTATATCATGTGTTTCGGGTACTTATTGGATAAATGGTCTGGATCTTCATTCGGGTAACGAATACCATTTTTATCCATGATCGGTCCATCTATATTTTCGATCGGCCTAATGGTTCAGGTCTACTGGTCCGGATCTCGGATCCTAACGCCCAATAACAACCTTATTAATTTCTAACGATTTCTTTACATACAATGGACAAATTAGAAGTTACAATTTCAATGTCTAATCAGACTCTTTTTTTGATGGAGGTGCATCTTATAGGATCTAAGTATGAAACCAAAGTATCTTGTATCTTTTACTGTTGGCTATGACCAGAGAGACAACATTGATGCTGCAATAAAGAAGGTAATTTTTGTTTCTAACTTGCATTAGTCTTTGTAATACTACCTTCGTCCTTAATTATAAGATATTTTTGAGTTTTTTTCTTATCCCTTTTTATAAGATCCTTTTCAACTTTCAAAGTGCATTAATGACTTTTTTCCAAACATACTCCTAATTATATTACATATTTTTCTGAAATTTTGTAATAAATACACTTGTATAAATATTAATTATTTCTCTCTTTTAAGGATAAACTTGTAAAATTGTACAAATTGTCAATAAATTTAATACTCTAACCAACTTTTTTAATTAGTGTGATTTAGCCTTCAGAGTCTTATATTTAGGGACGGAGATAGTAATTATTTATTTTCCTCTTTGTATAACTCTTGGAATTATATAACATTACAGTTTTCTGAGAACTTCACTATTGTGTTATTCCATTATGATGATCGTATTAGTGAGTGGAATCAGTTTGAGTGGTCAAAGAAAGCAATTCATATTAGTGCTAGAAAGCAAACTAAATGGTTAGTAACATGCTTTTGAATCAAGTATTTTATTGTATAAAGTATTTTTAAGGTAAAATGTTGAACTTTGGTTGAAGGTGGTATGCTAAACGGTTTCTACATCCAGACATTGTGGCTTCATATGATTATGTCTTTATTTGGGACGAGGATCTTGGGTTGGAGCGTTTCGATGCAGAGGAGTAAGTATAAAAAATCTTATAGAGTATAACGTAGATCTTAAACCATAAACCCTAAACCATAAACCCTAATATGTGTATATTGTATTGTAGGTACTTGAAAATAGTAAAGAAATATGGTTTAGAGATCTCGCAACCGGGTGTAGACCGAAGTAGTGATTATACATGGGAAATGACAAGGAAAAAGGATGGTGTAGAAGTCCATAAGTAAGTGCATAACTTTTCTTACATCACCATCGTTGCAGTTGTCATCACTTTCATGAAATATAAACAAATACAATCTTTTCCAATTTTTGTAGGGAAGCTGAGGAGAAAGATGGTTGGTGTTCTAATCCACCAGTGCCACCTTGTGCTGCGTAAGAAAATATATGTTAAACCATTTATTAATTTTGTATATTAGTTGTAATCACATAACTTGAATTTTGAAATGTTCAGATTTGTTGAGATCATGGCTCCTGTATTTTCTAGAGATGCATGGCGTTGTGTATGGCATATGATACAGGTTTATACATAAATCTAAATATATTGTTATTTTCACCACATAATAAATTTATATCTTATTTATTTTACTTTCATTGCCTTGTAGAATGACCTAGTTCATGGTTGGGGTCTTGATTTTGCTCTTAGAAAATGTGTGGAGGTTAGTATTTATTTTATATAGTGTATGCAGTACCACCTATTTGACTAATATTGGATGTAATGAATTTAATTTTGATTGATTTGGATATAGAATGCTCATGATAAAATAGGAGTTGTTGATACTCAATGGATTCTTCATAAAAGTATTCCCTCACTTAACAGCCAAGGGCAAGCAGAGAATGGAAAGAAACCGTGGGAAGGGGTATGTATTAATTTTTTGTTTTCTTGATGAATTGTTGTGTCATTGTGTATAATTACAAGATTGATATTAATATATGGTTTGCATCAGGTGAGAGATAGGTGTCATAAAGAATGGAAAATGTTCAAAGAGCGTATGGCTAATGCAGAAGCAGCACAATCACAAGGTCATAATTCTATGAATTCATAGTTAAAAGGGTTTATTATGCAAAGAAAATTTTGAAATATTTTAGTAATAATCGATATATTATACTCTTAATTCAACAATAGACATGTCCAATTATTTATTGAGTCAATCAATTTAGTTTCACAAAATATACTTACATTCACACCACTCACGTGTCCTTCATTCCCATATATAATATGCACACATTATATTGTTAAAATATTTCAAAATTTATTATAAATTATTATGGAATTTTAAGTGAAACAATTTAAATATATATATATATATATATATATATATATATATATATATATATATATATATATATATATATATATATATATATATATATATATATATATATATATATATATATATATATATATATATATATATATATATATATATATATATATATATATATATATATATATATATATATATATATATATATATATATATATATATATATATATATATATATATATATATATATATAATATTTTGTTGGAGTTTCTTGTGTGTTTGTGTTTTGTTGTTTATGGTGGAGCTTGATATGTTTGTGGTGAAACAATGTGTATCTTGTAGCACTTTATTCAGATGATTGTTAAAACTTAAAGCATTAGTTGACTTTGGTCAACAAGTTTCTCTGAATTTGATAGACACAATGGTACAAAGAAGACATGTTTGAGATAAATTAAAACAACAAGAGATTTTGTAAGTAGCACCAAGAAGAAGGGAAGTGCATATTTAATGGTTACTTGGAAATAACGAGTTTGAACACACTTCTATTGGAGGTTTAATGGAAAACTTTTTGAGAAAAATACTTACATTTTTTAATGGAAAATTCAAAATGAGATAAGATGTAGATTTGGTAAATGTAAAATAGTTGGGGTTGATATGGTGTTGTGAGGAAAAATAAGTTGTTACTTAAATTAGATGTTTAATGTTGGATATGAATGAAGATGGTTTGTATTGAAGTTAAGATATGTTGTAGCTTCAAGGCATTATTTAGAGGAATGAGAGATACCTTAAAAGATAATGTTCAGTGTTTTATCTAGGTTAAGTATGAGATTTAAGCCAATAAAGTTGTGAGACCAAGTACTAAGTTGGTAAGTAATGATCTCTTTGTGGTACGACAAAATAACGAGGATGAATGTTGATTTGAGGTTGAATTGTGTGTAATATATAGTCGATTAAGTGTTAATTTTAGGAATCTTGAGATTAAATTTGAGGTTTACGAGTATGAGAACTTGAAGACTATATAACAATGTGTGTTTAAAATGTCTACGAGAGTAACAAATCTCAAGAAAATGCAGATATTTTGAATCTAATTAAGGTTTAATTGATGATTGCAAATGGACTAGGTTCATGGTGGAGAACCAAGTGGTGTCTTATAATTAAATGTTGAAAGGGAGTTTAAATTAGTCAGTGTGAAGTAATTCAAGTTATGCATGGAAGTGTTTGATTTATTGTTAGAAATGTTTTATTCCAACGATGTTAGTAGAGAAGACTTCCTTAGTAATATGTTAAGGTGATGTAACTAAAAGATGATTAGATATTATTTTGAATATTAGGATGAAATGAATGGTTTATATGGTGTGTATATTTAGAGTATCAGAGAATTTGAGTTAGGAATTCATTCAAGGATTAAGTCTAAGGAGGATGAAAATTTAGGGATGAGTTTATACTTTGGTGAGATATTCTTAGGGAGAGTTAAGTATTAATGTTATGAGTTAAGGATTAAGTTGTAAGTTTAATATAATATGTGGATTTTGGTGAGATTTTGTTGTAAGTGATGTCAAAATTTATAAGTTCTTAGCATTTGGAGATTATTACCATAAACATTTGAGGTATAACTTTTAAGAATTGATTGTAAAGGCTCTCTATATTTTCCACCTTTGAAAAGGCTATGGACCTATATAACCCAATGAGTTAGATATTATATCTATAAGGAGAATCTATTGAAATGATTCTAAGTAAGTTGTTCTCTGAAAAGAGTGTGAAAGTCTGCATCTTTCTAATGATCATCCATACACAAGATTAATATGGAAGATATCATCTAACATATTAATCATTAAACCCCTTAATATAGCCTATGTTAAAGCATCATTTTAGCGTGTGTCGTGAAGACTCCACTATGTTACATTATACCAAATGCTTTCGATGGCATCATCTTGTCAAGAATTACTCAACTTGTCGTCATGTTCCTATGAAAAATCAATGCTAAATATCTTATCATAAAGTTCACCTAAAGCAATAGTTAATTTAAGGAAGCCCTATGTAAATTCTCTCAGTATTATTTATAACATTGAACAACACTTTAGAACAATCTATTGATAATCAACTTTGACAAAAAAGGAAAAAGATTTTTTTTTTATAAAAAAAACATCTAAAAAAGAATATCTACAAATAAAGAAAGAATCAACTCAATATAAGTGATTTCATTGTATACTCACTTTTTGATGAAAACTTAAAAACTTGTGTTTGTGCTTAACTTTATTTACATCCGATGGAGTTTGGTAGTAAAAAACTATAGAGCACCTAAAAATATTGTGGTAAACGAATTAGATAATCCAAATATGGATGTTGTGTAGAAAAAAGAGTTCAAAATGCATCACAAGGGTGAAAGTTTTCTTATAAATATTAATACCTACAAGGAGTTTGAAAAAGTTCCTAATAGAAAATCAACAAAGTTTATCTATGATTCTTTATGCCTAGACTATGAACGTAATAAGAAAGTAAAAGGCTATAAGGAAAATGCATTAGTAAGACAATATAAATTATTCCAATTGAAAGTTGGAGAATATGTGGAAACGATATTTTCTAGATTCCAAACTTTAGTCTCTAGACTCAACGTTTTGAATAAAAGTTATATTAATCTTGATCATGTGAATAAATCAAGAGTCTTCCAATGGAATGGAGACCAAAAGTAACTTCCATTTAAGAGTAAAAAAAGACTTAAATATATTAGCTCTTGAAGATCTCATTCATCTTCCTTCAGGGTTATGAGATTAAACTTAATGAAGATGAACTCTAGAGGAAGGCGAAATATATTAATAATTTTTTATTAGTTGAAGGACTCGTGTATAATTTATTGAGCATTAGTAAATTAAGCGAAAATGGTTATGACATGATCTTTAATCAAAACTTCTGCAAATATATTAGCCAATTAAAAACGGTTGTGTCCTCTTTGGTGGTGTGTGGAAAATAACATTTTTAAAATCAAGTTGACTGATTAAAAAAATAAGAGGTGAAATACCATTAGGGCATGTAAGCATGAGATAAATCTCAAAGCTTGATATGCTTAAATTTTGAAGAAATCTCCCTAATTTGAAGTATCAATCGCAATCTCATTAAGAAGTACGTCGAAAAGAAACACTTATTTTCATTCTAAAAATATTGGTTTCTCTTCATGTCCACTAGAACTTTTACATATTGATTTGTTTGGACCAGTGTAAAATATGTCTCTCAATAGTAAAAAATAATATGAATTAGTCATTATTGATGATTATAGCAATATGAACATGAGTGAAATTCATTAAATGCAAGGATGAGTTGTATTTTATGCTCTTACTATTTTGCAAACAAGTGAATGTTGAAAAACATTTGAAAATTGCAACAATTAGAAGTGATCATGATATGGAATTTTAAAACAAACCTTATGATTTTTTTGTTGTTGAAGAAAATGGAATTTTCCATTATTTTTTCTAAAACTCTGATAAAATGAGGTTTTAGGGCGGAAAAGTAGATCTCTTTCAGAGATGCTCAAAACCCAGATTAATGAGAAAAATGATGTTAAATACTTTTGGGAAGATGCTGTAAATAATGCATGTTATATTCAAAATATGATCTATATATGTCCTATATTGAATAAGGTTCCCCATGAAATATGAAAAGAAAGAAAATCCAACATTTCATATTTTTATCAACTTGGACGTATTTGTTATATGTTGATCACTAAGTAACATTTTAACAAGTTTGATTCAAAAGTACAAAATTGTATCTTGTTAAGATATAATGGACGACACTGAATATTGAAGACTCAATCTATTTAAGGTTTAGTGATAAATAGATTGATAATGATATGTCAAATCTAGTTTACAAATTTGCATAAATCTAAATACTAGGGAAACAATAATCATGATCCTTTGGATAAACTGCATATGGAAATGATGCCTATAGTGAAGAAACTCTAGACAAAAATATTCTAGTGAACTAGATGAAATTAAGGGTTTTGGCCTAGTCGTCAATGGAATTACAAGTCATCTCATCCAGAAGATGTAATCTTAGGAAGAATTTTTAAGAACCAGATCATCATTTAGAAATAATTACTCTTTTGTTGGACTATTATCTCTTATAAAACCATTTTCCATTGATGAATTTTTAAGTAGTGATGGTTGGATAATTGTCATACAAGAAGAACTTAATTAAATTCAAAGTAATAAAAGATGTATGTGATTTTGTTACAACATCCAAGGGAAAGATAACATTGAAACAAAGTGGATTTATAGAATAACTCAATGAAAAATGAGAATTCGTTAGAAATAAAGCTAGATTAGTAGGTCAAGGCTATATAGTTAACATGAAGGTATTGGTTATATAGAAACCTTTGCTCTAATATCTATATTAGAATCTATTAAATTACTTTTATTGTATGTTGTTAATCATGATATTATATGTGTTTTCTTTAATGACATGATTACTTAAGAAGTGTATGTTTGACAACCTCTAGGATTCTAGGACTCTAAGAAATTAAAATATATTTTTAAATAAAAAACAACTTTATGATCCAAAACAAGCTCGCAAAGCTCGTTATGATCAATAAAGTAATTTTCTTTTTGAAAATAGCTTTGAAGAGGGTCATGTTGATACCAAGTTTTTAACAAACAATAAGAAAAGGGTTATGTTGATACAACACCCTTTAAAAAATGGATAATAATGAAATTTTGATAGTTCGAATTTATGTGAGTAATATTATTTTTGGTATTACTAATATTGTGTTATGTCATGAATTATTTAAG